CATTAAATAAGAATAAGCTTGAGTTTTACTCAAATGCAAATGTCTTACAGTAAATATTGAGAAAACAAAAATTATTATCTTTAACAATTCAGGGARACAGTTGAGTAATTATGCATTTAATTATCAAGACAAAATCCTAGAAAACGTCAAACTTTACAAATACCTCGGCCTTACCTTTAGCGCTTTTGGAAACTTTACTATTGCAAAACAGGAGCTCAAAAAGTCTGCTCTTAAAGCCCTATTTAAATTAAAAAAAGACATGGGCAATTTCTTTCATTTTGATCCCTGTCTTACCATGAAACTTTTTGATACCTTAGTTAAACCTATTTTGCTATATGGCAGTGAGGTCTGGGGCACCGACATCGTCAAAGATGACCCTATTGAGTCAGTTCATATAAAATTTTGCAAAATTTTACTTGGTGTGGGAAAAAGTGCAACTAATTCCGCTTGTTATGGGGAATTAGGCCGCTTCCCTCTGCATGTRGCAGCAAAACTAAGATGTATAAAATATTGGCTGAGCTTAGTCTCGCCTTCTCAGAATCTTAAAATCTCTCATATATTTTATAAAGATATGATAAACTCCAGCCATAAAATTTGATGGAGCCGAAAAGTGAAAAATATACTAGCAAGAAATGGGTTAGGTGATATATGGGCAGAAAATAATAATTCTTGTGCCCGGCCGACAAACCCTTTTGCTGYTATTGAAATGCGACTACAAGACATAGAGAAACAAAATTGGCATGGAGAACTTTTTAATGATGAAAGAGGAATCCATGGCCAAAGAAATAAATTAAGAACTTTTCGACTTTTTAAAGTCAATTACTCGTTAGAGGGCTATCTGACAAAAGTTAAACAATTTCATCACAGACGAGCCCTCACTAAGCTAAGAATAAGCAACCACGACCTAGAAATTGAAAAAGGTCGATATTCAGGTGGTTATAAAAAGGTAGAGGAAAGGAAGTGTTTTCATTGTAAAGATGCTGTAGAAGATGAAAAACACTTCCTTATTAAATGCCCCCTATACTCTAAGATTAGAGATAAATTTATTAAGCAAAATAACATTCACGATTTTATTGCGGAGGAAGAATTTTTTCTAAAATTAATAGATCCTCCAAATAGATTACAAACGCAAGCAGCAAAGTATATTTATGAATGCTTTGCCTTGCGAAGTAAGACAAAATATTGAAATAGTAACTTTTTAAAAAACAAACATATTTATCTATACATTCCCTTATATTATTTGGAACCAATGTTTATGTACCCTTGTGTGCAGAACTCCAAATAAAAAAAAATAAAAATTTGTTAAAAATTTGTTTGTTGTTAAAACACTCATTAAATAGCGTTTGTCCACTCCTTACCAATGCATGTTATACGTGCATGACATATTGTACTTGACAGCTCATGGCAAACATTGAATTCATGACAGCGAGAGAATCTGTAAATATAACTTTGAATTCGAAAATGAAGTATTTGCCGGGTACTTTGGACATTTGCATTACCGGAAGACGTGATAAATTTATTTGTTTGTTTTCAGCTAAAGGCTGTGATCTGATTACCACACTAGTTGCTGGTCTTCTTGCTTTTATCATTTTAAGTGTATTTGGTGCATTGTTTACTTTGGCTGGTTCAATCATTGGTTGTATGGTCTCATGTGGCACTACCCAGGTAAGGTGTGAGCTGGGCATGCTCAGAGTATTAAATTCAGGTATTGTACTAAATTGCGAGCAAAATCCATTAACTCTGAATACATATATTTGTATATATATATCTAGGTGGTAGGTAGATTGTAGGTCAAAGTGTCAGTTATTTTGTTGCTATCGGACGTTCTTTGCATAAACGTTGTTGAAATATGAAATATTTGTTCTTTAGCACAAGCGTAATATATTGAAAAGAGAATAAAAAGCGCTCAACCTAAGTGATCATCTTTTGCTGCTTTTTTTCTTATATCTGTTCTATATCTTTATGGCCGGCAAGATTTTTGTAATTCGGTGAATGTCATGGTGGATGCAGTCCACAAATRCATCCTTTAACAATCGAATATTTCCATTTTTAGTCTCCTGGGGCCGTGGTGGTCCATCAGCCCGCGACTGGAGTTATCGTTACATCGCAAAGTAATCAAGGAGTAATGTACCCGAATCAATACCCCCAACAGCCAACAGGATACCCGCTACAAGCCCAGGGATATCCGATCAATCAAGCACCTCCTCAGTATGCAGAGAAAGCGCTAGCACCATAGCTAGTATTTCCAGGAAATGCACATTTTAAGGTCATTTCGGCTTCGTATTAATTAAAACTACAACTAAATGCGCATGTCCACTGCTTTGGATGGTCTGGCGACCATATAATTTCGTCAAAACAACAAAATGTTTCGATGTGACGTTATGGTTAAAGAACTCTTTTAGTTCATTTTAAGGCCAACTTTTTTACACGGTCCAACTCATTTTCCTTACAACCATCTCATGCAACCTGCTTACGACATGTATTGCCTTTAGCTTACGACACAAAAAGCTTGCGTGCGATATTTCCCGTTTGCTCTTGATTCTTTCTTGAAATAATCTTTGCTGTGGCAATTAAACACGTACTTTTTCTGTTCCCCAAGATATCAGCTTTTCCATGTCTTTCACTGTGAATTTTACGTCTTCTCGTTTTTCGCATGTTTTGCCGGTGTGTACACATGTGTGTCGGCCATTTTGAAAAACAAATTTTCCGCTGCCCTCCCCACTAGAATTTTGTAAACATCGCATGTCTTAAAATCGTACAAGCTTTTTATTGTCGTACACCACAGTTGTAAGCTAGTAGTAGGGTCTATTTACACGATACGATTCGTGTTGTAGGGATGTCGTAGGCAGGTTGCATGCGATGGTTGTTAGGAAAAGTCAGTTGTGCTACTCCTACGAAACCGCCTCAATTTTTAAAAGCTTTCAGTAAATTTAAAAATGGTTACTCAGTAACAACAAACGAACTCAGACGTCTCAATGTCTAGGTATATTGTAAATGGTAAAGCATGCATTTTGGATAAATACTATTTATCCAAAATGCATGCTGAAATAGCACAAGCAGAAAGCCATCGTTTCGAATCATATATGTAAAAAGATCCTGTAAAGTTACAGCAGAAACAGTTGCATCGCGACTTCAATGTTCAAAAGAAATCGTTAGGGTCTTTATGCGACTTGGGAGCGGAGCTTGCTGCAAATCAGCCAATGACTGAACGAGTTTACAAAAAGCTCCTCCCCTATAGATCGAAGGTGAACAAATTCAAACATACTTCGAAACGAAGAAGTTGCGATGCAACGATTTTCGCTGTGGCTTGTAAACGTTAGTACACTACAGCAAAAAGTATTCAGTGTTCAGAAGTTTATACAGTCAACTCTCTCGTAAGCGATCACCTCGGGATCAGGAAAAAGTGATCGCTTACGAGAGATGGCAGCTTACGAGGTTTTTTTACAGAGTTTATATGGGAAACTGAACAAAACGGGAAATTTAAAATATTCTGAGATTTTGCCGGCTATGGGAAGAACTGGCAAACTACCTTAACTATTTATAGCTGGCTCATCTTCGTTTTATTTCCAGCGGAGTATAAAACTAAAGCTAAAGCTTTCAAACCTCGTCAATAAAAATGTATCGTCCGACACGTCAGTTAGTTGTTCCACCTACTTTTTGTGACAAAAGGCCTTATGGGGCCTCTCGTCACTATGTCATCGTGTTGACGTGACCGATCGTAACAATCCACACAGGCGTCGAGTCCTTGATATGTTTAAGTTGAAAAGAAAAAACGAAAATCTCGAACTCAGAACTTTCACCAGGAGAAGATGTACCGCCCTGAATACATAAGAAATAATGAAAATAAAAAGATAGGACGATTTCCCCGAGACATTCTATGAAGCTGAGACGTCGAATCGAAAAACTACCCAACATCGAATGGGGATTGAAAGATTAAAAGATGATTTTTTCATAATGGTGAGCGAAGTTGAATACCAGCCGAAAAAGTACAAGTTCTTCATCAAGAACAATTTGTGAAATATAGACAGAAATCAGACAGGAAATCTTATAGCTCTTGGCAAAGGCACATTTGAGCCCTTGGTATACAAGTGTCTTGTAAATACCTTAAAATGACTACTCCGTGTTTTATTGTCCGCTGACCTTGTGAATTTTCAAAATGGAATGAAGAGAAAAAAAAACGCACGAAAAAACAGGAAGTGCTGCACAAGACACGAAGTTCATCCATTTTTTCCATTGGATTATAACCTCATAATAAAGTTCTTGTTTTGTTTTCAGAAAAACGAAATTGTTTCTGGCATCCTCTTTACAATAGATCTGACCTAACTAGCCAATCAGCGCGAGTGTAAACTATAGATTTCATGTTTCTAATATTCTCTAGGTGCACTGACTGTATGTTAAAATCACCAAGACGTCTGCCTGAATTGTTCCTAAATCATAGCTCGATTGTCTGAAAGCC